ATAAAACAAACATTCGCGCATCTTTGTTTCACCTGAAGAAGCCTTATACTGCTTAGTTGAAACGCTACACTTCGTAATGTGTTCAAAGTAACGTTTGGCTGAAAAATGCTATATGTTACTTTAAAATTACCATAACTATTCTAATTTAAACTTAGCATCAGTTTGCTTAGAAATGCAGAGAGTATATCCAAGCTGATCAGAAATCAACGCTCTCTTCGTTTTAAGGGAATGAAGCTAGTGTATCAGGCTGCCCGCAACTTCGTATGTATGTACGTATATATGTATGTATGTATGTATGTATGCATGTATGGATGGATGGATGGATGGATGGATAGATGGATGGGTGGATGGGAGGATGGATGGATGGTTGAATATATGCATGTACGTACGTGTGAAAGTATGTATGTGAAAGTACATATGTATGAATGGTAACTATATTCATTATCGAGGTAAGATTCTACTAACCATCCAGCTATTTCCTTCAAGCCATGTCTATCCTTCGAAAACGATGAAAGCGACACTAAAGCGTATGGCTAGCGTATTGTGCCGAATTACAAAGGAGGTAGAGCAAAATTCGATGGTCTAGGCATGTAGCTCGATTCGCTGACCACCGATGACAACGGCTCTCGTCAATTACAGCCGGGTAACTGCGAAAGCTGCATTGCCTTACAGAGAGATGGAACGACTTTATCTCAGACCTACAAGGATCACTGTGCAAAAGGCTTGAAAGAGAAAAGAAAGGAGAAAATCTAAAGACTGACGCAATTTGTCTAGCTGCCTAATGCTGGTCGATTAAACACAGTCAAAGCATTCCGAATTCTTTTATTCCAAGTGTCCTGCTGCAAGGGGAGGACATAAAATCGAAGAATTAGTAAGGGTTTTCCAAAGACAAACAGCAGCTAAAGGATTCTCTAACGTAACGACGACAGCTGAGGGAAACGTAAGTGACAACTTGTTATTAATTCACTCGGAGATGGCTTTGAGTAAGTTAGAGCGATAGCCACTTCGCCGAACACGGCATGGTTCCCATACGTTATATTATGGATCGATTTCTACTTTTATAGAACTTTTTATTTTAGCAGCGAAATCTCCAAGTTTAACTGTTCTGCGCATTCAATAGGACGTCATTTGATATCATGGTTTAGGGTGCCAAAATTGTTTGAAAAAATATTTCATTAGTGGTTATAAGTTATTAGGCAATCTGATAAATAATACATGAATTTTCTGGAATAACTGATGACTTAATAAGATAGTAGACAGCCAATAGTGTAATAAATATCGATCAATTAATAGCTCATAGTCGAATATTACCTACAGAAATTGGCATGTCTGTTTGTAGTCTAAGTAAAAAATTTGTGTTCCTCAAGTCCAATTACATGTGTTGTTGTTGATTAGTAAAATTAGAATAATTCTAAGCCTACCTCAGTATCCAGTCAGAAAGCTTCGTTCCAGTACAACATTATGGATGCAAGCCCAAGATAATTCTTTCCTATAATTGATGCTT